TGGCAGTGAGCCTGGAATCTGCAGGACAGCTTCCCAGTCTTGGAACCTCTTAGACATTATAGGTATTTCCAAATGGAGCCACATGGTGTGTGTGCACACATGTGCATGTGTTTGTGTGTGTACATGCGTGTGTGTGTGCATGTGATGTTTCTGGATGTAGGAGAAGGAGTGTCAACATCTCCCTATTTGGGATCCCTGCTGCCCAGTTTGTCATACCTCCTAGTAGGCACAGCAGATGGCAGTGGTGTCCTGTGAGTTTATGCAGCCATTTGGGCTGTCAGCTTGTGGCTCTGGCTTAGATAACTAAAGGGTCAGAGACATAAATTTCAAAGTTCAGGCTTTTCCACTGGACAACACTTTATGTAAAAGTATCTATATAAATATTAATCAAACAGCTTGAGAAAAGGAAATAGATACTGTTTAATAGGAGATTTAGAGGTTGCACAACATCATGAATATAATTAATGCCACTGAGTTGTGCACTTAGAAATGGCTAAAATGATATATTTTAGTATAATAAAGCAAATATAGAAAAAAAGAGATTAGAGAAAAATAAATTCTCAGGCATTTGAAGTGCTCACAGTTTAAATCCCTCTATTTCAACGATGATTTACAGCTGCTGCAGGATGGCTAAAGTTAAGTTCACCCATGGAGCCTGAACCACTCCGTGGCGCTCCAGAGCTGTCTGCCTCTTTCCTCCCAGCCTCCCCTGGTTGAACTTGTTGCTAAAGTGCCTGAGGTTTTAGAACTGAGCCCATACCCGGACAACTTACTTTGGTACCGGCTTCAAGAGTACTTTATTCTTTCAGTCGTCATAATTAGGGTTCTCTTTCCACAGGCCATTCTTAGCTCAGTCCACATTGTTATAGAAGCAAAGCCATCCTCTGCTTTATGTGGTTCTTAGGAATGGAAATGTAACTATTATGGCAAGCAAGTAGCTGGCGCCTACTCGTGCCCCTACCCTCCATCTGGACAATCCTTTGGACTCCAGAGCAGGGAAAACAGATACACAGAGAGGTCAGGGATTAACACACTGGACTTCCCTCATACTTCAGGCCTTGCTTTCTGAGAACAATATTTCTTTTATTTTCACCAGAATGTTTTTTTTCAGGATGAAAATAATTTTCTTTATAATTACCAAAAATTAGACACTTCATATCTTTCCTTCTGATCTTTGAAAGTCATGCGTTCTAGTAGTGTCCTGGAGATGAACATACAGATAATGACAAAGACAACAATAATACATGGGAATTATCAATCCAAAGCATTGTGCTCAAAAAATATTCAAAATTGTCTGCTATCTGTGTGAATGATCACGAGTAAATGAATCTAGTTGAACTCTCCAGAGGTCAATGGACAAAGAACGAGCCAAAGCCAGTATCTCCTCCAGGCTGTTCATTAGTCCCATGAATGTCTAAGGTAAGCATCAGCCTAATAAAATATAAAAATGAAAAAATGTAGTTTATAGCTTGTCCAATGAGCAGTAAGACCAAAACTAGAAAACTTGTCTATAAGACATCTGCTTGTATTTTAGATTAACAAAGGCAGATAAGAGGTCTTGGTTAAAATACGTATGAAGACATGCAAATTATTTTTGGGACAATTTTAGGAAAAAATTATTAGATGCTTTGGAGATAAACTTGGTCTTCCAAAAGATATTGATGATTTTCAATCCCCTTGGGTTTCAATGGATCTGGCGAGAACTTAATCTAGGGCAAAATTATTGAAGATGCAGAAATATTAAAGAAAAAAAGCGTTCTGTGTTCAAATGTTTGGGAAACTGTGGATTAGGAAAACTGAACACACTTCTCTATAGCAAGACTCTCAGAGATGTTAATATGTAAATGTGGAGTTTATTTTAAGTGTCGAACTTACTTGGCAAACTTATCTGGAATCATTTTTGAATAATATGTCTTGTGGAACTAGGATTTCTGGGACCACTTTGAGAACTCTGTGCTATTCTGGAGAGACAGTGATTGTCCAGGAGACTTTGGGTGTCAGTAGATATGCCATAAGGATACAAATGCACTGGCATTGTTCTTAAGTGAAATTAAATCTTATAGTCTAGGGAAAGTACAGATTCCATATGAAAATTAAGTGTAGACTTTGTCTTCATCAAATACATGGTATTTGATGGTAATAATGGAATGAATTTACACAGTTTGATGGAGTCCATAATTTTTAAAATCTATGTATCTTCTATTCTTCCTACTTTCTGCATAAACTTTCATGCATAAGACATGTATTTACTGAAGCCTTCTCTTGTATGTCTGTTAGGTACCTTACACTCAAAATTAGCAAAGTGAATTAATTGACCTCATCGGATGTTATGTTCCTTAAATGATATTACCATCTACCCATTTACCTACGCCACATACCCAGGAATCTACCAGTAGCTTCCCTTACCACAGTAACTATCTATAGCCCATTAATAACTTAGTTTTAGCACGTTTCATACCTTCATCATCTCTTATCTTGAGCATTTTTGTGTCCTAATTAGCCTCCCTTTCTCTGATCTTGTTCTTCCCCCAAGTCGTTTCTTCATACTGATGACAAAATAATTTTCTAAAGTACAATTCTAATTATGTTAATCTTTTAATAAACTACTCCTTAATTGATTCCCCATTGTGGTATACAAAATAAAGCCCAAACCCCTTAATATGTTATACCTGTTTTCTTATCCTTGCTTGCTTTTCCAGTCTTCACTTTTATCACAGGATAAAATCCAGTCATAATCTGAATGTTCCACTCCCATGATGGCAGGCTGGGATATGACTTGATGCTTTTTCATCTTTTGACTGGACTCACCTTACATCTCTGCTAGCTACCCAACAAATATTTTTCATCCTTCAAGACAAACTTAAGTGAATCTTTCTTTATGGAACTTTCCTGATTCCTTTTCTCTCTTCTCTCCCTATACACTCTACGGAGTTTCATTATACCTATTTGTTGTTGTTGTTATGTGCCGTCGAGTCAAACCCGACTCATAGC